GCTAAGGACATGACAATCAGGAAGCAGAAAGGGCTCTTACTCACCGGAGACAAAACACAGGCCCCAAAGGCACACCCACAGTAACCTATATCCTCCAGCCACACTCTACCTACCTTCTGCCCAGTTAGTCCCTAACTGAAAATTAATTTCCTAATTAGGTTAAGACTCTCAATACTCAATCATTTCACCTTTGGACTTTCTTGCATTTTCTCACACATGAGTCTTTGGGAGACATAGAATGTCTAAACCATAATAGAGATGACATCTAGTTTGCAGGTGGAAGTTCCCTTGTTCAGTAGTGAATCTGAAAAGCAGGTTACTCCATAGTATCCTTAACAGAGTTTATAGAGGCAAAATCTTTGCCAGCAGAAACCTTGGCTCAATTGGCTGAGTTAATATCTTTAACATGAGCACTAATTCTTAGTAAAGATAAATATGCTACAATATAACTGACTCTAAATATGCATTCTTAGTTCTACATGCATATTGTAAATTGTAAAAATAATATCATAAAATATGGACTACAGATTTTAGAATCATTAGAAGTTTTCTACTTTTCCAAAAAGGTAGCTGTCATTCATTGTGAGGGACCCCAGAAAGGAGACAGGGAGGATGCCAAAGGCAGTAACTTAGCTGATAAAACAGCTAAAGCAGCTGCTTTCAACACAGAGAAAGTAGCTGCACTAATTCCCACCTCAGCAATAGAATCTTATACTCCCATTTATACATTAGAGAAAAAAGAATGGGCCATAAGTTATAGAAACACTCAAGACACAGAAAGATGGCTATATCTAGGTAAAGTATACACCTTTCCCATATTCAGTGGAAGGTCCTTAGAGAGTTAGTTACATGATTCCTGACATTCTGGCAAAGCCAAGATGATAACTCTGTGCAAATAATTATTTAGTGAGCAGAGACTAAGACCACAGAATAAGTAATTCAGGCATGTGAGATATGTGCTCTCAATAATCCACAAGCATGAGTACTCCTGCTTTAGTCTCACTAGCTCAAAGAAATAATTATTACCAGGAGAAAATTGGCAATTCGATTCTTTCCAAATGCCTCCCTGTCAGGGATTTAAGTATGTGTTAGTCATGATAGACAACTTCACTGGATGGGTTGAAGTTTTCTCCTAAAAAGAACTGAGAGGGTCACTGAAGTAATCAGCCCATCCAGTGACATCTACCATGAATAATAAATGACATTGCCGTAGAGGAAGAACAAACTCAATCAATAAAATTTGTGACAAGTGTTAGGACAATTTCAGCAGACACTAAAGGAATTTAGGGAACAACTTCCTCTTTCCTCTAATGCAGCTTCTCAACCTTCATTCCCTCCTGGGATCCAGGTTCTAATTAAGTGTCCTAAAGATCATCAATCCAAGCCCCAGTTAAACTCTATCTGGAGGGGGCCTTTCCCTATAGTATTATCTACTCCAATAGCTATCAAGATTCCAGGAATCTCCAAGTGGATCCATCACTACTGAGTAAGCTGTGGACTAAAAAAGATGATCCCAACAGGTACCTAGAAACCCCCCCCCCACACACACCAACTAACCTTCACCCTGATAAATGATCTATGACTCCTTTTTACTAAAACTTAACCGAAATATATGAGTTCTACTTGGGACCCACAAATTTCCTTTTACCCTCTTCCTCAACATCAGTGGCCTCCTATTCTTAGAATTTTGAATGTATTAGGATTTACAGTAGGTATTATACTGTATATCATTGACTATAAAATGAATAGTCTGAACTTTTTCCTCTTCCTGTCAAGCTTTAGTTAAACTAAAGGTGCTAACTCTTTTATAAGTTGAGCCCAACACCATGCCCAAGAAGTTAATTAGACTAATTGCCAGATCTGTGAATTAATGCCTCCTTGTAGCACCTCAGGGCTGTCCTGGTGGGATTCCTCTTTGTAAGGACAAGAGTGGCTAGCCCTACAAAGATGTATCCTAGAGGAATATTGGGCTACAGATGGATGCTATAAATTCAGGACTTGGTGGAATATATCTCAATGACATTGAGGATGTTTCCCCTACAGGCTGTGGCTGATACTTCACTGAGGGAGCTACTTTTGAACAGACAAATGAAATACTTCTGGGAGCTGCAGTGGCATTGGGCAGCCTCTCTAACCAATCCTGCTAATATTGCAAATTTAAAACACCAATGGACAAGACGAGTCTTCCATTGGTATGATTACCTGACATCTATATTTATTCTTTCATTAAGAGTTGAAGAGGTAATTTGGCCTGTAGAATCCTAAGTACACACAAGGACTCTCAATGACACAGCTCAAGGAAAAGAATTGTTAAACTCAAAAATCACCAAGATGAGATAGGCTGTACTCCAAAATCAGATGACTCTTGATGTTTTAACTGCAGCTCAAGGAGGAACGTGCTATCGTGTTGTGTATACATTTCTGGCAATCCTGGCAATATTTCTGGTATTGTCCAGGTTAGTAAAACTTAATTATCACAGATGGAGAACTCAACCTTGTCTTTTCTAGACTATTGGAATAATTTGTTTGGCATCTCTTATTGGTGGAAGGACCTTCTCATGACTTGTTTTTAAGTCATCCTCGCTAGTATTTCATATGTCACCTTGCCCGTTGTCCCCCAGTACTACTTGACAATTGTTATTCCCCAGCTCCTATAAGGAATATAGCACACTGATCAATAGATGACTCCTCCTTCTACTATGGACCCTTGGACCATCCTCACTCACCTGGCAGAAAGCAAGGATTTTGGGTTTCCTTCCCCTAAATGCTGCACCTTTCATCAGGAATCAGCCAGAATTAGTCACAGTCAATTAATCTTAAAGAGTTTAGGGGTTCTTGTCCTCGAGAGGGAAATGTTAGGTAGATTAGTTAGCAATGAACAGTTAAGTAGAGGGAGATACTAAGCCTACGTATCAAGAAAAATCCAAGATCCATAAAACTGAAGCATCAGGGAGCATTATCTAAACAAGAAAACATTTGGGAATGAGAGCTGAATGCCCAACCTTCCCCAATTTGTGGAGAATTAAAGCCCCTTGAAGAAAGTATTACTTAAATCCCAGGGACTCTAACTGAAACACATAAGCATCAGAGAAGTGGGGTCTGGTATATCAAGATCTCCCTCACAACCTGTTTCCGGAACAATGTCTCCATCCTCTCTTGTGACCAAGTACCTACAAACTTCCCTTATGGTAAAACTATGTCACAACTACCCAATCACCCCAACAATCAGCATATTGAGACCCTCAAAAGGCAAGTTTGCTGAGGGCCATCTAAAAGGTACTAAAGCCATTAAGGGGAACAGGGAAATTGAGGTAAGAACAAGGGACTCATGTTCCTTAAAAACTCCAACCCTGTGTGCACCGTCCTTTCTTGGAGGTGGTCTATGTAGACCCCATGCTGTATATTACCTTCACTTCTCACTCTATTAAACTTTTGCTTACAACTCTGTGTTTTGCTTGAAGTCTTTTCAGTAGAGTCACAAGAATCATTACTCAAGGGCTATGGTGGTTACCCTGGCTTAGCCTGGCAGGTGTCCAGCCATTAAACAATTTGACAGAATCTTTTTAAAAACCATTTTATTAGAGTATTATAGTCGTACATAGTAGTTGGGTTCATTTTTGACAAAATGGTACATACATGGATTAGGATTAAGGCAAAAATGATCAAAGAAATAGGTGAGCACTAGGAAAAGGTAGTATAAAATGGATCCCTCAAAAGGAATTCTTATTCCTTCCCTTCCCTAAATATCCCATCTCAGAAATGTGTGCAAGTATCAGGCAGGTCTTTTTCTTTTTCTTTCCCTTTCTTTCTTTCTCTTTCATTTTTTCATTCTTTATTTTACTCTGCTTTTTACTCTCTTTCTTTCCTCTTTTTCTTCTTCCCTCTCTTCCTTCCTTTCTGCTTCTCACTCTTTTGCTTTCTCTGGAAGTCGGGGTGGGGAAGTTGCATGTGGAGGGGAGAAAAGGCTGTTCTGTGACTGACATTGATTTTGCCTACTATGACTTCTGTACAGCTGCGCTGGGCTCTGGAGTCATTCCCACATTTTTCTTCACTTTCCCTTCCTGTCTTACAGTGGTGCTGGTTCTGATGGGTATCCATCTCGGAGATACACAGAGGCAACGATGCCTCAAAATCCATTAGAGATAGAGAAGTTGTTGCCTAATGTAATCAGAGTATCCCCCCTCAAATTGTAAAGAAAAAATAATCTTCTGAATAAAATGAGAAGTCTAGACAATGATCTCATCAAAATGTGATACTTATGAATCCCCTCCACCCCCATGCAAGCTTGTACCTCAACTTTAGGAAGCTGGTGGGTGTGTGCAGAACAGAGCTAGAGAAAAGAAATATAAAATACATTTATTATTCAGGAATTAAAATAGATTGAGAAATTTCCAGTTTAAGTTATTTTTAGAAAGTACATGCATATTGATATGTGTGTGTGTGTGTGTATATATATATTATATATAAATTATATGGATGTACATATATATAAGGACATATTGCCAATGGAATATTTATTTACCTGTCAGAGATAAGCAATTGACAATGACTGTCTCTTAGACATTTTAATAGGAACCATCACAAGTAAATCAGACAAGTTATTTTGGGTATATTTGTGGTGATTTGGGAGTTTGGCACAATGTCTGAAAAAGATTGCCTGCCCTGAGCCCATCAGACAAGGTGATTCTCACACTAGACAATCTGAGAGCTTCAGTTGTTCTTTTTTATTTATTTTTGTCTCACAAAACCACACCCTTTTCTTACCTAACCCCTCTCTACCTAGGCTGAAAGTGCCAGGGTTCTGCTCCTTCCCCTCCCTCCCACCTCTCTCCCTGTCTTTAAAACCCCAGGGAACCGGTGTGATTTGAACCAGTCTGTGATTTGAATCCCTAGATTGCTCCAGCAGTGAAACTAGACAGATTAGGAGCTGGGGCACATTTGGCAGAAAAGCAGCTCTTTGCTTTCTTCTTATGCTGCTTCCCCTTCCTCTTTTCCCAAATAGATATGTAAACACATGTATTTTCCTGTTTAAATTGAGCGAATTGGTCCTCTGCCTGTGCCTTGATTTAACTATTGGGCTGAGTCTTGCTCCTCCCTTCCCTACTCGGATAGGAGCCACTAGGATCTGGAGCCTGAGCTTCCAAATTGGAGCTGGCCTCAGGCCAGGTGACCTTTTCTTTGTAAGTTTCTTTCTTAACCGAGGGATTGGTGGGGGGTGGGATCTGTTGGGTGTTGTGGTGGGGGGAGTGAGGAAGGGAGGGGCTGGAAGAGAGTAAAGGGCTGTTGTTAAACAGTTTCTTACCGTAAGAGGGAGTTCAGACCTAGATCTTTCCAGTTAATCACACAACAAACTTAGCTCATCGCAATAAAAAGCAGCTCAGAGCCGACTGGCTCTTTTAGGCACTGACTGCGAACAGGATTCTTTCACCGGGGCATCTCCTCCAGTGGGACCCACCAGCGCGTCCCGCAGCACCATGTGGGTGACCAAACTTCTGCCAGTCCTGCTGCTGCAGCACGTCCTCCTACATCTCCTTCTGCTTCCCATCGCCATCCCCTATGCAGGTTAGTTTTTTTTCTTATTATAATTATTATTTTAACTCTGTCTTGCTATTCTTCCTTCTTTCCTTCTAACACACTCTCTCTCTCTATTCCCAGCATCCTGGCTTAACTCAGTGTGTGGTATGGGTTTTCCAAACCTCTCATTATGCTTTCTTTTGACATTCTTTTTCTGTTTGAAAAACATTTAAAATGATAATTAACATCCCCAGAGCACCCCTTCTTCCTCCTACCCCCACCAACCCAGCTTCATCTCATTTAGCCTAACAGTTGTGAATTATGGAATAAGAACGAAGTACAGAGACTGGCTGGAACTTTGTTGGTTTGGACAAATTAAAAAAGCTCAAGAGTCTGGTCCTAAGAGGGGAGAGGAATGGTCAGTCCAACAGAGACTCAGCTTTTTCCAGAGGACAATTTTCCAAGACAATTCACTACCCCACATCATCTAGTCAAGATGCAGAGCCAAATTATGACGTTATACAGGTTTTCCTTTAGAGCAGACAAATTAAACTCAGATTATATGCATGTTATAAAAATGAAAGAGAAAGCCTCTCTTCTAAGTTGTCATTCTTTCTGGGCATGGAATGCCTGCCCCCTGAAACTGCAGTGCCTGGGAGGCAAAAACTGTGTGTGACTTAGATCAAAGATGCAGTATTGCTCCTTTCAGGCTCCTACTTTCTTCCTTGGATTTGCAGGTTGCTCAGGAGTTGCTTGGGCATTCAGAGTGCCTGGAAGTTTAGAGATCTCATTTTATGGTGTGGGAAGTTTTCTCTTGTTATCAGGACAAGAGGAAACATCTGTATTGGGTTGTATTATCATTGTGGTGACTGGGGTGCCAACAGTAGAAGGCAGTGAACATCCAGGATAGGCACAGGGGAATAAAAGACTGGAACGCATGCCCAGATGGCAGACATGGCTTTGTACAATGCAAAACAGAACTGGCTGAATCTCTTGAGATAAGTAAAGTATGAAATTTATCAGACTTCTGATCTAGTTTCTGAGATAATACAATGGTTGAAAACTTCAAGAATTTGCTAAGTGATAAGAAAAATTATTTAGCCTACCTGGCTTTCTTCTATTTGGAGAAGTGGCCCTTTTGGAAAATGAAACTGTTTGGAGCAGGTCAATTTATATTCATGTAGGTAAGATCTGTGAGGAGGTGAGAAAGAAATTCATGCACATCAAGCAGTTTATCATTCTTGAGATGTGTCATGTTAAAATGCATTCATATAAGTCATTGCTAGTTTAGGGGATGTTGAGCAAAAGTTGAAATCATGGCTAGTGTTTTTGATAGCTTTCCCTTTAAAAGATTATAATTTGTTGTGCTGAAGTAGAATAAAAGTTACCTGAAATCGTCTGTGTTAATGCAAGGAGAGCACAGTGTGGAAAACCCAAACAGTAGATTAACCATAGACAATGTCTATTTGTTTTTGGCATGCATTACGAAGTTTTGGCAGGAGATATACATTTGTAATTATATTTCACTTTGGCTAATGTTGAAATGACTGCGTTTCCTGACTATAGGGAGAAAGCAGCCCAAGTGTATGCTGGCAGGCAAGGAGAGGCCAGTTGAGAATTACAGATATATGTTATGAATAATTCCTGAAGTGGATAATGCTAAAATTATACTCAAAAGAGGGCCCGCCATTTTTGGGTGGCAAATTTAATTTGATAGTTAAAAAAAAAATGACTTCCACAATGAAAACTGGGTAGCCTTCTTATAGCATATAAAGCTTGTTCTTTTTAAGTATTTTAAAATTGAACATGTAAAATTGTTGTTACTTATTTTTGTTTTCATTGTACTTTTCCATGTATTATATCAAATTAGCACACTGTTAGAAAAGAAGTGGGTACTGTAAGTTCACAGCAATGATGAACAGAATGCATCGTGGAGATGCTTTCTTGAAAAGTTTCTTAGGAAATATTCAATATGGTTGATCCAAGTGATCCTTATTGGAGTCATTGGAGATTGAATGACCTTCTCTTCATTTCTACTTACACTGGAAACAAACATCCAATCTTCTTTAACAAAAGAAGCATTAAATGTGTACCTAATGTCCAAGAGTCTTTGGGTAATATAAAGATAAACAAATGGGGAAGGGACCTATATTTTTTAAGCAACTGTTATGGAACAAGTTCTAAAGTATATTTTATTTAGTTCTAATAAGATTGGAATTATTGGATTTATTTTACATGGAAAAATTGAAGTTTAAAGACCTTAATTGTCTTAATATCTTTGTTAAGAGTCAGAGATCAGATTCTACCAAGTCTATGTGAATGAAATGTGTAATTATTTTTCTTTTACTTATATTGAAGCCAGAAGCAGTAAAATCAAATGAAATGTACTTCTGAAATATCGTTTGGCTAAGATAGGTTAAAAAAAAAATCCTCTGTTTAGAAATGCTATTATACTATCATTGAGAGTTCATTCCTAGCTTAGTGAATCAAAGCAGGGTTAGGAGGTATATGGTATCCAAAAGTATGAAAAATGAGTGGTACCCTGGTTAGTACCTATGCTAGGAGGACAAAAGTGGCTAAAAGTGTAGAGGTGAGAAAGTATCACCATTGCCCCAGAAAGACCACCACATGGGAAGTCACAGTAGGCATTTGGGAATCTGAGGGGGAATCTGGCCTGTGACTGGAACAGTGAGATGAGATAGAATAAAAAGCCTACAGGCTACAACATGTGGTCTCTATAGTCAATATTGTGGGCAGCAGGTGAAAGTTTTGCATTGACAAGATGCTTGACTGAAGTCCTACTTCAGTGTGGTTACTTCAGTTGCTATGTGGACAGAGTTGTAGGCAGAAGTGGACAGTGACATCAGAGACTAAGATGGGGTTTCTATAACAATGAAACCCTGAACAAGGAAGGAGATGGAGAGAAATATCAAGGAGGCGTGTCAAGCCCCACTGATCACTTCACTTTATAAATCTCTTTGGAAGAGATTATAATATTGCTTCTCAAAAAGCTACATTTGGTTTAAATCTGACCAATCTCCTTTTGTCATCCTTATTTGTGATTCGGTTACCTTTTCTAAAGAAGGGGAGATGATTGTTGATTGGTGACTTCTGAGCTCTGATTCTAACAGTGGAGATGGGAACTTTTATTTGTGATTCTCATCTCTAGCCACAATCCTTTCTTTCCATTAATTCTCATTATACTTTCATCTTAACATCTTGCCACTTCAAATTGTTAATCACTAATCATGGAGGTAGGTTTCTCAGAATATGTGGAGCCAAATTCCTGCTTCTCTTCACACCCTGCAAATCCTTTCCTTGCACGATTTTCCTTTGAAGTCAATGGTTAGTCCATATAGAGGAAAATATATGAGGTACTGAGAGAAATGAGTGTGAAACCCTGGGACCAGAGGGAGAAATGTGTCTTTCTTCAAGCACCTTGATACTTTTGACCCCGCTTTCTGTTTGTAGGTTTTCACTAGCATCCTAATGATTTCAGATCTAAAATAGGGACTTTAGGTTCTTCAGGAAATATAGCTTACGGAATATTTTCCCATACTGGGAGAAGTTTAAAAAAAAAGAGTTATGATTTAAAATACAGGAAAGCATGACAAATTTGCAGTGATCTCTTACCCTTTGATTTCAATTCAATATTTTGTTTATAAACTTCAACTAACAGTCACACACAAAAATAATAGGAAAAAATCTGATCCAAAGATATTTTTGAGTTTCTTCCCAAATGAAGCTTGGCTTTTAACTGTTTTCAGTAAAACAAGCATCAGTTGTTAATACATATGGAAGGCAAAGTTACAACTATTTTCAGCAAAGAAATTTTATTTTCAGATGCTGTTTTCCAATGACTTATGCTTTGAATTTTCTCTTATTGAATGAGTGATTGATTTTATAGATACGTGGGTGTCTGATATACAACTAGCTTGAACTTTATATTTTTGGTACTTAGTTACTGACCTAGAGTAAATGACTTATAAGGCAAAGTTTATATGCCAGGAGGAGTCAGTAGTGAGGAGGGAGGCTTGGTATCTGGTTCTAACTGTCCCTGCTGAGCTTTATAGCCCCAGATCAGCTTTTTACTTCTATTTATGATCTAATAAATGAAAATTAGAGATTGGTTTGTTTTTCAGAATACTTTTTGATCTTTAGCCATGGAAAACTGACCGGTAAGCAAGAATAGAGTATTTTATGTGATACAGCAGTAAGACCTTTCAATAGGGCAGCTGAGGATCTGTAGAATTGAATAAAACCAAGAAATTCACAGTGACCCCCTTTCTTCAAAATAGTCCTCATTTCTTATGTTCATATTGCATGGTATTAAGAAAGCAAACCAGATCCTTGATTGGGAGTTCTATTTTAAATGATAATTACTAAACTGTATTAGGAATTTCATTTTGTCTTAGACTTTTTAAATGTATTTTTAAGCTCTTCTCTTACACTTTGACATGTTTAATAAATACATTATGAATACATTATACATCAAGAAAAATTTAGTCAATGGAATTTATTTGAGAAATACATATAGATTTTCCATCTTGGTGAACAGTGTTTTTAATAGATTTTTCTCCATCAACCAACTAGTATTTATTTCTGGGAAATATTCAACCTTGCAAAGGAAATTGAATTATTATGCTATGAACTATTTCAGATCACCAAAGAAATAGTGATGTAAGATCAAAGGAAGTGAAAAGTCTAAATGGAAAAACTTATCTCCGATTAACATGGTCAGTGACAGAAATCAAACTTTGCAAAAGAATTATGTCTTCTTTGTTTGACAGAATAGTTGTTTATTTTCTGATGTCAGAAATTAAAGGATAAAATTTTTTTATTCTTTCCTTTTTTGGTGCTAGGGACTTCAAAACAAAACTAAAAATTTGCATATGCACATGGTTTTTATCAAATTTATAAATTTATTTCCAAATACTTATTTAATGAGTATAGCTTAAATAATTCATTGGAATTCACTATTAATGTATTTTTCATTTTGTAAAATAATTGGTACATTAATGGTTCAGGTAGTTAAATCATTTGGCCAGAATTATCATCTCTCTGCCAATGTTATACAAGGTATTTGGCCCCATTTTCATTAAATAGCATTGATAGATCATTTGGTCGATTGAATTTTTATGTTAAAATATCTTTTAACCTGTATCTATTGTACCATAGCCCCATAGCCATTCTATCTTATAGGGCAAAGAAAAGCAAAAAATAAAAATAAAAATAAAAGGAAGAAGAAAAAGAAAAATGAAAGCATCCTTATAGGAATTACACCAGTGTTTAGGAGATTGTTTTAAAGTTTTACAGAGAACCAAAAATTTAAAATACCTTATGCTTTCTCTATTTATTGTGGACTTCAGGTTAAGAGAGACTTTAATAAATAGCATCTGCAAGTTTAGTAAATCAACTAGATCCAGTTGTTTCTGGCAAACTCAGGATGTGATGCCATTCTTGGTACCTCACTTTGCTAGCCAGATTTCCAAATTTTCTGCACAGAGTATTTTACCATTTTTTCTTGACACATTTGTATCACATAAAGATCAGGAATGCATGTCCTGTTCTACCACCCAAGTTTCTTCTGAATTGATAGCTGTGAACCGAATCTTCAATGTTTACAAATCATATTTCCGCAGACATTCTTGACAATTCTTAGATAAAGATGGCTTGGCGAGTAGTTCAGAGTGGTAATTCTGAAGGTGGGCAGCTGGCTTTTCAATCTGAGATCTTCTAAGTGGATCAATTAATTTTTCCCTGGTTGTTGGTTTCTTTGCTTTGAAAATGAAGGCATCATTACTGCCTTTGTTATAAGGGTGTTCAAGAGATTGACAGGCAAAGGGGCCCAATCATGTTCATACCTGTTATATGACAGCTGTAATCTATAAAATATTTTGATCCATATTATAAAGATGATGATCATTATTAGACTTGGGAAAACCAAGAATAAAGCAATACGTTTTTGAACTATTAAGTTATCCATAAGATTAAGATTAGAGGATGTTTTGGTTCTGTTTTTCAGGTTTTTAGTAGGAGGGTTCATGTTATCTTAGGGTCTTATATTTTCATGAAGAAAAATGATATTGCTACATTAAAGGATGAAGTTTTACATACATTTGATTTACAGCATTTGGCTTGATCTCAAGACAAACAGTTCAGTGATAGTAAGAGATAATGCCCTGAAGCACAGAAAACATTTATGTTGTAAATGAGAAGAGAGGGATAAAATATGAAAAGTATGAAACAATTTCAAAAGCAGATCAGAAGAATTTGTCCACTGTGTTTTTTAGTGAAAAGTTTCTCACTTTGAATTGTATTACTGATTAACACTCAACTCACAGAAGAACCAATTTTAGAAAGAAAATGGAAAATTTATTTATGAAGCATGGCATGGTATAGTCTTTGCACAGATGCTTGCTTGCATGCTGGTTGGAGAATATAACTTCTTTAGGGTGAACTCCATCCTAATTACTTAACAACTGTTTCCATAGGGTTATTTATTTATTTATTTTTAGCATGAACTGTATTCTTATTTTGAAATGCATCCTTCACTTGAAAGAAAGAATGTAGATCCGTATGACAAGTAGTCTTCTCTTGCTCTTAACTATTCCCTAACTCACTCCACCCCCCCAGTCCTGGAGACCTAGTATGTTACTGAATAAAATTGCTGTAGGTAATCTTTAAGCACTTGTTTTTCTATATAAGCCTTACAAGGATTTCTCCTATATTTATTTTTTATTTTTTGCATTAATAGAGGGACAGAAGAAAAGAAGAAATACACTCCATGAATTCAAAAAGTCAGCTAAGACAACTCTAATCAAAGAAGACCCATTACTGAAGATTAAAACCAAAAAAATGAATACTCCAGACCAATGTGCCAATAGATGTATTAGGAATAAAGGACTTCCATTCACTTGCAAGTAAGTTTTTGAATTTCCTTCTTAAGATACTTCTCCAAATATTGTGTACACATAAATGTATATACATTGTAACTGTGTTTTACTTTTTTTTCTCTCTTTTTTTTTTGTATTCAAAATATGTACTTTGCCCATTAAACTAAATTGAATTCTAGATTTACCTCATTACAATAGAAGATGTATCTTTCAGTTGAGGGAGGTATGGCTTGAGTGAAAGAGTAAAAAAACCACCTTCTAAAATCCAGTGTCCTTGATTTTTGATTTTTTTCTTTTGTTTTCTCATCTTTTGCACAATCGAACTAAGATCAAATTAAATTGACTTTTATCTCTCCAACATTTTTAAAATATTCTATTAATAATAAACCATTTATTTTCCCTTGCAAAAGAAGTGAAGAAAATTGGGCAACAGCCAAAATTTACTGCAACTTATACAGTTGTCTTCAGGGATTTAAATAAAAGGTGTTGAGTGAATTAGATAAAAAAACTAGAGGGATTGGTGTCAGCAGCAGAGCCTGTTTAAAAGAAGTTAGGGGATAGTGATGACGAAGTCTCACATGAAAAATGATTGAGCATTTCAAGGAGGCTGGAGGGGACTGAACTAGACAGTTTCTTATCTTTTACCAGTCTCCATGTGACCTCATAGGGAAGAATTCCTTACTGCTTTGCCAGTGATCCCAGTGGATAAGACATAGCTTGGGGCCAGAATGGTGATGATTTCATCTCAATAGTCTTCCAAACTGCCAGGAGGAGGTGTATTTCCTTATTCTTCTTTGTAAAAACTCTCTCTTTTCATTTATTTCTCTTCTTTCATTCCCAATTTTATCTCCTTTTAAAAACAGGATTGTGTGTAAAATTCTGAAATTTTTAACCCTAGCTTATTGCATTTGAATAGTGACACCGAATGTGTGAACACAGGGGTTAGCAATATGTCATGACAAGAAGTACTACTTTTATCTTGTCAGTCTTCGAGGAATGAACATTATAGACCTGCAGGCATAGGGCATTGTTTCAATTGGCTTTTTCATTACTGTGACCAAAAAAATGTGTCAAGAACAACAGAAAGGAGAGAAAGTTTATTTTGGCTCATGGTTTCAGAGTTGATCAGTCCATGGTTGGCCAACTCCCTAACTCTGGACCCTATGTGAGGCAAAACATATTGGGGGAAGAGCATGGTGGAGGAAAGCAGTTCAAGACATGGCAACAAGGAAGGAAACAGAGGGGGGGGGGAGGATTTGGGAGGGAGCTCTCTTACCAGGGGCAAAATATAAACCCCAAGGGCATAACCTAAATGACCTATCTCTTCCAGCCATACATTACTTGCCTAGAGTTATAGCCCAGTTAATCCAGATCAGTGGATTAATCTCCCTTCTTGCATTATCTCACACATGATCTTCAGGGGGAGACCTCATATCTAAACCAAAACATGGCCAAAGAAGGTCTTCAACAGATTTAGATAGAAGAAGGACTATCTTTTTTTTTTTTTTTTTATAGCCAAGCTATTACTTTCAGGGAAATATTTCCTGGCAAGGGCAGTGAGAATTGACTTTGTGTGTATGATTATTTTGCTACAATTAACACAATTATGTTAATTCTGTTTCATTCCCCGACTTTTATATAAAGCCTTGAGACTGTTAGAAATAAATTAGGAAAAATTACTTTAAGTCAACATCTCAGCTCTGTAGATTTATCTAGATGTTCTTTTGGCAATTGAATAGGTTGGCATTGTATTTTCTTCCTCAGGGTTCGAAAGGGATAACTGTATTTCATGGTTGATTTTAACTATAAATTTGAAAACATATTCTCCTTGGTCTAAAAGTAAGAAAAGTATCGCTAACACTGAATATTCACATTCATCATTCTTACTTTGTTTTATTTAGTAGAGGCTAAGATGATTTTGCTGCTTTGAAAATGTCATGTGGCCTTATTAATAAATACTCTAATATCTCACTTATATAAAGTTTCAGATTTTCTTATCAAATTCTTGTTGAGTTATATTTTATATTCAAATATATGTTGACCTATGCAGAAAACCACATTTAATATTGTGTATATACAGACAAGGTTCTTCTGCCCATTAATGGTAAAATTTTCACATGTCACTAAATACAGCAGTTATTTAGAATTGAAAGGACATATTGAAATTTGGTTTTCTTTTAAATTTATTCTTTAGTTGGACACAATATCTTTATGAGGATCGAACCTAGGGCCTCGCACATGCTAGGTGAGCACTCTACTGCTGAGCCACAACCCCAGCCCGTTGGTTCTTAATGCATCAAAAAAACCCTGTTTCCAGAGTTGACATAGGACTAAAAAGTGATGAAAACACACTACATTCCTTGGAAAACATCAAGAAAGTTGTGTAAAGTGAGGCAGAGGTGTAGAACATTCTCAAACACTATTACCTCTTGAGCAGGAATCAACAGTGTTGATGTTATAGGAACTGCATTCCTCTTTGCTAGGTAGAAAGATGACAGAATGCCTGGTTCTAAAATGGCTCTCCAAATTCATGAACTGACTTAAGAAAATAGGAGTCTTTTTTCTTCTAGCCATTACTGCCTGGTAATGAAGTTGCCTTCCAGACGTAAAATGACTAGAAAACAGAAAAAAGTCATTTTTTAAAACAATATGGTAATCTAAATAAAGCTCAGATAAAAACTCTTAATGTTATATTTGAAAGAAAATACAACCATGTAATTGACAGTCTGAAACACTCCATATGGATGTGTAAAATAACATTTTAAAATGCTTTTCTTAGAGAATATATTGTTATGATGGAATGAGAGAAAGGTTTAATGAGATTAGCAACTGAAAACTCTGAACTCTGTACCAATACGTTTCATTCATTAATTCCTTCCTTCCTTCCTTCTTTCTTCTTTCTTTCTTTTTTCTTTTTATTTTTGGTTCCTTTTAAATATACATGACTGTAGAGTGTATTTTGAAATATTATACATACATAGAGTATAACTTATTCTAATTAGGATCCCAGCATTTACCCACTTTTCTAATAAAAAATACTTGTTTTAAGCAGTTTTGGGGTATTTATTATTTTTTTTTAGATAAAATTTTTATGAACCAGAACAGCAAAATCTAGTATGATTCTTAGCTATGGTTATGTAGGAGTGACACGTTTTAGCAATTTTCTTTTAAGATGATACATCAAAAGCATATTCTCTAATACTTACATTTTTTATTAAAATGCAAGAAAATTTATTTAGGAAATATTGATTTGAGCAAACAAAATTATCTTCACAGCAAGATTTTTATAGCCTTCAATAATCTCTAGTACATCATAACTCACCAAGAAGGGATATTATATGGGAAAATCTTTAAACATTTGATTTCAGAACATTCTTTCCTAGGAGAATCTCCAGAAGTGGTCATTTGTCTAAAGCACCTTAGGAAATACATTTAAAAATCTATTTAGTACAATTACAAACTTTGGAACCTCATTCCGATATCTCAAATATAATAATTTGTATAGAACTGCAATAAAATCTAACTTGGTGGGTATTTAATAAAAAGTCTTCACAGATAACCAGGTAGTTGTGTTACATATTGACATTGCTGGTTGAAGCTCTTATTTTTCTACAAGTAATTTGGAACAACATGAGAACATTGGAAATAGCATTTGATTTGATATAAAATCCACACCTACAAAACTTTTTTTTTCTTCATCTGGCATCAAAATGGTCAGTTCAAAATTACTTATGATTTTATTATGAGTATACAGTAATGCCTCTGTTTTTATATATTATCCTCCTTGGTAAACCATATGCTGTTCTTTCAAAATTATTTAAATAGTAGTATTCCTTCTTTTCATTCAGATATTTTTTTTCAGGGCTTTTGTTTTTGATAAAACAAGGAAACGATGCCTCTGGTTGCCTTTCAATAGCATGTCAAGTGGAGTAAAAAAAGAATTCGGCCATGAGTTTGACCTCTATGAAAACAAAGGTAACTGACATTTTCCTAAATATTTCATAACGAAATAAAATATGAAATAACACATCTGTCACTTCCTGCCTCCCTGCTTTTCCCCACTGATGTTTCCATTATATGATAATATGTTATTGCAGTTAATTCATCCATTAAGCCTGATGAAAAGAGTACCAGTTTTAGAATATTTCCCCAGTTTTCTATAAACTAGATGTCCTCCTTCCTCTTTGGTGTTTTTGAAGGGGCATCTCTTAAAACTGGCATTCTTCCTATTCTCCTATTTTAGGAAGTATCTCCTTATCTTATTAGATAAAGTACCCTGTATTGTGTTGAATTTTTAGCTTATAGACTTTTAATTTTAAGAACTTTGGATATCTAATCTATTATAGTGATAATCATTGATAAAAAATAAGATATGGAGATTCTGGACAAATAAATTGGATCTATACCTAATCATATAGTTTAAAAATTTTTTAAAAGAAGGTATAATTAATATGTACAAATAAAAAATGGTTTAAAGTATTTTTATATTTTTTTTAAGTTGTAGATGGATACAATATCTTTATTTTATTTATTTAGATATGGTGCTGAGGATTGAACCCAGTGCCTCATAATTCCGAGGCAAGGGCTCTGCCAATGAGCCACAATCCAAGCCTAGTTTAAAACATTTTTAAAAAGGGATTTAGACTGTATTATTTCTTAATTTCTCTCTTCTGGTGGTCTGATATTGTACTCACAATACATTTATATTGTTCAAAAGCAGAATTATGTAAATTAAATCATAAAATATTAAATAAATATCAATTTACAAATTAAATCTTCCATCAGAAAACAATAATCATGGATTATGCACATGAAAATAACTTTTAATTTAAAATTAGTGTTTTCAAAAATACATGATGTGTACTATTAAATTTGGTTATTTGATACTATATATAGATTTTTCATGTTGATGGGTTAATGTTTAAATAAAATTAAAAGGAAATTGATGGTAGCAAACAAGGTAATCTTTCTACATATTCTAATAATTCTGCAAATCCATAAACAACTCATAATCTAACCTAAGAGCATTCAAATTCATTCTTTCTTTTAGTTTGTTAACAGCTATAGTACTATTATTTGATAGAAATATACAGCTTCTTAAAATTCATCTTTCTTGTAATTTAGCAGCTTAAATATTGGAGAAAATATGGAAAATAGAAATCAAACTAATATAATTATCATATATATACATATACATATCACACAATTTTACCTAGTTAAAAAAGAAATTAATTTTGTTATCTTAAACTTCTGAATTCAAAACAGAGTTTAAGAATCAATTTTTATTTTTAATATTTTCTTAAGACTATGCATGTGAGCAAATCACAATGGCCTGGCTACTTGAGAATATAGACTACTATTCTGTGTTAAGTATAGAGATTGATCTCTGTGGTTATCTATGTTTAATATACTCACAAAATTAAAGCTTCTTAATAGTCTTCCTGTTTGTTTTAGATTATTCTGAAATATGTTATTTTGAAAACAGTAGAAGCTTTAGGAAAGACATATCTATGTTATTTGAAATAGTTTACCAGAGTTAATTTCTTACAGATTTAAATGGAATTTTATTTTTTTCTTCAACAAATACAGCATACAAAACCCACACAATTTTAATAAGGTTAAAAGAAAGACACATTTTTACAACATTTTCTTTTGCTTTTTCAATAGACTACATTAGGAACTGCATCATTGGTAAAGGAGGCAGCTACAAGGGAACAGTGTCTATCACCAAGAGTGGCATCAAGTGCCAGCCCTGGAATTCCATGATACCCCACGAACACAGGTAAGAACAGCATGAAGAAAAGAGGATGTGGCCTCTGTCTTTTGCCTATTAACAATCTCACATTAGTCCATGTGAATGATTTTACAGTTCTATGAAAACTTGGTCAACATTGCTGAATTGTATGAAATCAAGGCTTATGACTGATATTTACCAAAAGAATAACAAAGTTATATTAAAATGTGGCCTGCATATTCTTACTTTAATGCTTAAATTTATTAATCTTGATGTTAGTGAACAAATAGTGAAAATATATGTTATGAGGAAAAAAGATTTTTCCTCTTTTTGCCTTTGAGAAAACACTATGTAGCTAAAGGGTTGATAGTGATAAATCAAAGTGTATCAGACTCTGACCTTATGTAGGCTAAGGGTACTTTAACGTTGGTGGATTCCAACTTTGCACATTAAAATCACCTATTACAACCCCTTGAAGAATCTCACCATGTGGAGAAACATAGCAGTTAAATCAATCCCTGGGGGGGAATGGGATACCAGTGTGTTTTTGGCAGCTCCCCAGATGATTCCAAAGCACAACCAAAGCTGAGAAGCACAGCTAATAGCTCATGCCTCAGAATTACTCCCTTCACTATTGTCTAAAAAAGGATAAAGAAAATTGGAAATTAAATGTCTACACTGAAGAGAATTGTGTTTATTATAACTGATGAGTACTATTTAAAGACTGGTAAACATAATATTCATAGGCTCATTAAATTAAGAGATTTAATCATTGTGGAGGAAAAATATATGTATCTAATACCTACCAGAGAACTAAATATAGCCATGGTTTTGCAAATTTATTTCACAAATAATTTTAACAGGAAATGAAGTTGTTTTAAAACAACTCTCCTCTGGTTAGTAAATACATTGGATGATTCAGTTTCCAGTGGCAAGTGCCTTGCTGAGCAGTTTACTGGTGTATCTCACGCAGTCATGCAAACATTGTAGTGGGTTTTAGTTCTATTTTATATACATGATGACACTGTAGCATAAAGAACCTTAGTGTATTTCTGTAAATGGTAAATAGTATAGTGATAAGCCCAATCAGTATCACTATGTAACCTGCGCTTGTAACAACTCTAGGGCACAAAATACTTGGCTTATGAGTAGGACAAAGTCTGTGACACATTGTTGCAATACTAATGATGACTTGGCCTTGATGGATACAGTTTTGATTTTATTCTGCTTTTTATTAGCATACGTTTGTGATATGGTTGATTTTGCTTTAGTAAACAGAGATTAGTTATTTGTCCCACATATAAAAAAAGAGTTCTTTCTCAATAGGACCAAACCCTGATCTTGCCTAGTTTACACCACCTAGTTCAGTGTCCAAGCTGAACTGGTTGACAGTATTTTAATAATAGAACATCCAAATACAATTTTATTTTATTTTATTTTTTGGTGCTGGTGATTGAACCCAGGACCTTGGGCATGCAAGGCAAGCACTCTACCAACTGAGCTATATTCCCAACCCCATTAATAGAAAACTATTTTTTCAAGTTAGTTTGTAACAGTTACATGGAAATATCTTGGAAACTATGTTTATGTTACAAAATGAGCAGTATAATTGACTTTTTCTTAAGGATCTGCATAATGAAGAAGACATTTTATTTAAATAGGTAGATCAAAGTGTTTCACAAACACAGAAAAAGCATTTGAAATCAATCCTACCTTAGTCCAAGAGAGTGCATTGAACTGACATAGCAGAAGTCTTATTTCAATCCAAATTCTCTATGATTGTGATTCTTTGCTAGAGGAGTAAATGCGAAGTATATCTCTCTGGGAACTGGCTTCAAGTCTAATCAGCTATTTACCAAAGAACATTTCCTTGTGGTATAGAAGTTTATGGCTGAGGGGATATTGTATTATTAATCAAATTATTTTTTGTATCCAATGGGAGCAACATTTAATTTTAGCAGCTTATGGAATATCTGCTTGATAGCTTAATGCTTTTAAGTGTTAACTAAACACCAATTTTACGGGAAATAGAAAAAGAACTATGTTTGTGTCTGAAGGAGTGATTTACTGTTGACTCCCTAAATTGAAATATTTTACAAGTGGCTTAATGAAAAGATGATGATAGATGATGAAATTAGTATAGAAGCTTAACCAGAAAATCAGGTGACCTGATATCTACATCTATATCCTTCATTAACCATCCAGCATTCATTAAGGAAGCAGATGATGGAATAGATCAAGTTTCCTCTGAGCACAGTTTATATTAGAAGAAAAGAAAGGGAGGCTAGCACCTAGAAGACCTAGTATATATTTCAAAATATATTTGGATATAACCCAACTTCAAATATTTCTTCTCTCCTAAAGCCTTGCTAACAGCAAGGACAGAGTACTAAAAATAGTACGTGTGTGACCAAAAGCTTATTACAGAGCCCACAGACCGGCAAAGACCTTGTGTGAAATAGGCTTTTGTAAATATTTGTCACAAGAACACTCACAGGTGAAAAGGCAGGGCCAGCCTTCATCCCTTGACCAATTATGGGATGCTGAGGAAAGTCAGGCTAACCGTCTTGGGACACAAAAGAAAACCAGTTTGGGTAAAAGGTCAAGTATACCAAAGAATGAAGAAAAGAGATGCCCCACACTGTTTTTTAACCTCAATGTTCTAAAGAGGTATCTCTTATGGATTGATTCAGAATTGTGGCAAGAAGCCCAACTTTTCACTTTATGAAGTCTTTTGGGAAAACTTTATTCAAATTTTGACCATATCTTGTTTTAATTTCTACTTTATCTATCTCTCTTCCTTTCTTCTTTTTTTTTCTCCATTAAATTATTGATTGACACATTCACTACTTAATAACTTCTCTTTGGCTTTGCAAATCCACTAGAAAGATGTATATGTATTTCTCTCTCTCTCTCTCTCTCTCTCTCTCTCTCTCTCTCTCTCTCTCTCGTGTGTGTGTGTGTGTGTGTGCATGCATGGATTTAAAAATTCTCTTTAAGACTGTGGATATTGAATATGTGTGTATTGAATGTGTGCTAAAGCCACTAAACTTAATTTAAAAAGGATAGAAATGCAACATATAGTAATTTTGCTCGTCCCATTTATCCTTTAAATGAAGAAATTAAAACAATAGATAAATTGTTTAAGGACCATGTCAAACACTAGTCAGGTGAAATATATGAGGCAACAATATGGTTTTGTGATAATAACTACTTATTCTTACCACTCTACTTTTTATATGTTATAGAGTTTTGGTAGAATTTTCATAAGTAAGTTTGACTTCATGAATATAAGAAAGCAAAAGTCAGTTTTGATTGTCAAAAAAATTAGTATTATATAAATTTTCTATGACAATTTGAGGATAGGCCAAAAAATGAAAGAAAATAATTTCAGGGTGTCACAAACAAGAAAAGATAGACTAAAATAATATTCTGGAATGATGGAGCTAAGACAATAAAATAAGTTGTTTTTTTTTTAAATTAATAACTGTTAGAAACCACTGTGAAATTATGATGAGCTTTAATTATGACCTAATGTTTTATTTTTATTTCTGCACACATCCAATGTTAGTGATGTAAGGCTATAAACTATCTAAAGACACTTTGGAGTTGCATAGTGTTTATAATATTTAATTTGTTTCATTGAAAATGTTGACTCAATGATAAGTCTCTTAGAATAGGCTATTTCTTTTTGAACACTAATTGATATTTTCAGAGGACTTGACTCTGGTGTATGTACATTCATGTGTAAATAAAAGAATTTTATTGCAAAACATCGCTTGTGCCTGACCTAGGCCTGCATACATTCTGTGTCATAACATTAAAAAATGATTTTTTTCTTTTTGATTGACACATAATTTCTGTGCTTTTATGAGATGAAACATGATGATGCATGTATATATTGGCTAATGACCAGCCAAAGGTAATTAGCATATCCATTTCATAATTAGAACTTTCACTGAGTAGGGAACACATTTGAATCATATTTATTGAGAGATTGAAATCCTTGGACTTCAAGTACACGTAGAATTCTGAGATTCTGAGATCAGCAAAGCAGAAACAATTTTTTGTTTTTTAGCAAATACACAATAGAAAGGTGAAAATGAGAGATGATTTTCAAAAAAAACTTTTTACTGGTATAATCTACAGATGTATATTCCTTTATTAATGATTTTTCTGTGCAGCCTAGCAGACAAATGTATCATCATTGAGTCCAATTCCATGAGCAATACAAAGAGAATATATAGGCTTTGACCTGTTCTGATGTGTTGGAATACTTTATGCTGGTAACAAAACTATCACAAAGGCACTAGAAATTTTAGGTGAAGGTAATGTACTGAAGTTACAGCACCCAATAGCTTACTATTAGAAGTTATATCTGGGAACAACAAGTTCCAGTTATAATCAATACTATAAAATTTTTGAAGAGAATAAGCAATTGTGTTCTTTATTATGACATTATAGTGACTACAAGGTTGAATGTGCTTAATCACAGGCTGCATTTCTCAACTATCAATTACTCCATCATCCTTTGAACATCTTAAAACAACCACATAAAGTTATAGGTTATGTTTGTACTCAGTGTGTATATAGAAAAACTAACAGGCTTGGAGAGGTTGCCTTTCTTGCTGGATGTCACAGTTAGTAAGAGAAAGAGCTGACATTAGAGTCCAGATTTGATTCAGTTTTGTATTCTTTGTTCATGTTATTTCATCAATCTGTTTCTCAATTGTATAGAAGGGGGCGCTAGTACTCAAAAGAAAAGCAGTGATCAGACAGCTAAGGACCTTGCATAAGCAGGGTAATGGTGAGATGTCGAAGTTGATTGCAGTGATTTCTCAGTTCTCTCTTCGGTGGCCTTGTCCAAGCACTTGCTGTCTTCCAGTGGAACTTTGGAATTGTATTTTTATGATACACCAATTACATGCTTGAGTATCTGCAGTTTAGAAAATCCAGATACTAATAATTCTTGATGTTGAATATGGAAGTTCAGTAAGGAAAACTTTAATAAAATTCAAGTATTTTATGAATATATGGAAATGACAGAATTTAAGATATATGAAAGTATACGTAAGAGACTTAAGGGTTTCTTTACTTTCAGAAAAAGCTTACTATTAATTCATAAAATTAATAGGCCAAACATAAAGTTGCATGCTCTTATACTGTAATGATTATCATTTTAAAACTAGCTTTTTGCCTTCGAGCTATCGGGGTAAAGACCTACAGGAAAACTACTGTCGAAATCCTCGAGGGGAAGAAGGGGGACCATGGTGTTTCACAAGCAATCCAGAGGTACGCTACGAAGTCTGTGACATTCCTCAGTGTTCAGAAGGTAAATGAACCTGAATGCCGTGTGGGAACTCTATTCCCCTGTGTAGAACTGTAACTCACATTAAAGCTTAATAGGAGCAAATCAATTACAAATAAACATCTTGTTCGTTCAAATGCAACCATAGATAATTATTTGAGCATTCTTATACAATGTTTTACAATCTGATGATTACCAGATTACTGCACAATAATGGAGCAAACTATCCATTTGAATTTAAATGTCAGCCTGAGATATCCCTTTGGGGAAAAAGTTAAAAGTGGGCTTACTTACCTGCTGTCTTAAGCTCACCTACCTCCAACTCTGCTTTCATGGATCACCTGAAAGGAGCTGAATGAAATTAGCTCTTTAGCAGTAATGGTAGGTCTGTTCATCCAGCACGTGCTTCTGTCTAGATTTGGTCAAACCTACTCTGATGTGGTATGTCCAAGATCTGTGTACCCAGAAGAGAATATAACAGGGGCTCAGTGGAATGGAAGTTTGAAACCCTTGTGTACATTTCATTTAATGAAAATGTGACTAGAACCAAATTGGACACAGACTGGGACTGAGTGCCACTCAGAATAGTATCTGAAGAGATGGAAGCAGTGGGCCCCAAATTTTCTTGAAGTCAGGTACCCTAAACCCATGTCTATATTGTTTTTTTTTAACCAAATTCTCACAGCATAAAGAGTACTATTTTTACAATTTCAGTGGGAAATTGAGTGACTGACAAGATGGAATATTAACCATTTCAGCATTGTATGTGGTTTCAGTTTTCTTAGTCATTTGGCTACCAAATAGCTGGGTTTTTCAACTCTGTCAAAAAAATATAATTCTCCAAATCCAAATGAGATATGGATAAACTATTTTAAAAGTTCATTAGGATTTTGAAGTCCTGGGGGAAGGGAAGGGACTGCTGGAATACTGACCAATTTTTATAATAAGATATTTTACCTGTTTATTAACCAAATATTTTTTTTTGAAAATATATCCTCCATGAGTATCCTTTTATATTAGGTTTATATATATATAAAATAACAAGTAAAGGACATTGTAGCTAATTGTCACAGAGAAGGCAAATGTGTTTTTTGTTATTAGTTAATTTATAATCTTTGACTTCATGTGGTGGAGCCAGTTTCATCTGTTTGTAAATTCTTACTTTTTATTCCATGTCATATTCTGTTCTATATAACTTCTTCATTGTTTTCTTTTCTTTTAAAAATAATAAACTTATCTGTGATAACATTATGAACAAGTCTGTTTTGTATGAATAAGTTGTAATCAATATTTGTCTTAAATTTGCACATGGAAGAAAAAAATCCTGTTTTAGGGGAATCTCCATTATCACAGAGATTGAAAAATCATTGGCAAGGAGTTTTGTTTATTTATCTAAAATTTTTTTGACCTGTTAAAGTGTTTTCAAAGGTAGGTCATTTGATCAAACTTTATACAGTTTAGCATGTATATTACCTGCCTAGTCCTGTGGGAATGAGATTTTCAACCCCTGGTTGATAAGAAAAACCTTTATCAGAATACACTGATGTAGATCTTGATGAACAGGTGATGGAGAATAAAAGTGGTATAAAATAAGTAATTTTTAAACTCCTATTTTCAGTTATCCTTATTAGAATGTAATTATGTAATATCCTTTAATAATTTGAGGTCATCCAACCTCCCCAGAAAAGGACATTGCTCATTTGTATTAAAGGTCCGTGACGTTTTCAGTCACCCCCGCACTAACAGTTGCAGATACGCTCTTTCTGGAAACAATTAGAAGTCTGACAATGGAATAGCCTTCTTTCAGGGGAAATGAATCAACACCTGCCCTGTAGGCTAAACATATTTCAGGGAATGTGAACTGAATCATATATAAAATTCAAGCTTAAATTAAGCAATGTGTTAGTAGGATTTTAATGAAGAGGATTCAAAATAAGCAGCATTGTCAATACATTCAAAGAGGAAAAAGAGCTATTTATAAAATGGGTAAAAAAAATAGAAAAAAGAATGCAGATGTGATGTAAACATCTACTAAATACATATATGATGGAGAAATCTCACAATCTGAAATGCTTAAATAGTATAATGGGTGGTCCATTTCTATCTATGGATATTAACTGGCAAGTATTAAAGGTTATGAATTAGGTAGTAATCCTCATTTTGTATATTTAAAATTACAGAGGAAAAAAATGGTAGTTAAACTTTTGGACTATTAAAAATATATAGAAGAGTATGTATATTTAGATTTTTTGTAATTATATTAAACTCTTGATTGAGTGATTGTCTGAAATTTGGCTAGAATTTTGGTTCATAAAATAATTATATGATATCTTGTTTGATATTATTTTCATACAATTTAAAGCTGAAATATATTAATCACTCAAAAATAACTTCTTTTTTTCACATTTAGCATCTCTCAGAAAGAAGGAGTAAGTTCAAAGGATCTATTGTATAACATGGTTACTAGGGTTAATAATAATGTGTTATATTCTTGAAAAACAAAGATTGAGTTTTAAATGTTCTTAGCACAAAAGCAATAACTGAGCTAAAACATATGTTAATTAATTGCTTTTAGTCCATCTACAATGTATATATGCTTTAAAACATCATAAGTGATAATATATATATGTATATATATATGTATATATATATAACTTTATATGCCAACATAAGAAAAAAACATTATACAATTATGTAAAGAAAATACTACTAATAAATGCGTAATTTAAAAGTATAGAAGGTTGAGGTACATAAAATTCCATTTATTGTTTTAGTATTTGGGATTTAAAATGCTCATCAGTCACTGGAACAAATGTCATGTTTAGTGATTGTCATGTACTCAATTAAATATATTTTAAATAAATCATAATCATTATTTTTAAAATACTTTAAAATCCCAAACAACACTAAATAACTTTATGTGTATAATTTCATATTCCATGTGGAAAAAACCTTAAGAAATAGACTTAAATAAAACAATTTTCTGTAAGTGTGAATTTGTGAAACTATTCATATTTTAATCATTCAGTTTTGCTGAAGAAATTGCATGTATGGATTTTTCTGAGGGAGTACATTTACTGGAATAAAATAAACAGTGACTCAAAATAGATCCAGATACTTTGAATAATTGTTTTACTCTGCAAACTCACAACACATGAGGTTTTATGATTAAGGAAAACAGTACACAATTTTTTCTTGGGTTGGTTTGATGATAAAGATGTTAAATTAATCCTGATTATATTACAATTTGTCTGTAGTTTTTATAGTTTTCTACTATTATTTAGGTCAGAACCATTCTTAGACTATTGAACTGAAGAATAGTTTATGTGATCTAGGATAGTACTTTGCTTTTATCTTTATTTTTTAAAGGGAAGAACTTTCTGGAATGATTAAATAATGAACTGGCAGTGACAGACAGGGTCCAAGAACAATCCTCAACCCCCTTGCACCATTGCATAATTCATACTTTCACCTGTTTGCTTGGGTATGTGGACTTGGTTTCCACCTACACTGTTTTGATTGTGAGCTGTGAAAACTTATATAAGATTCTTAGAATTTGCAAAGGTTGAAAACTAAGTTCAGAATTTTGGCCTTCTTGAGGTAATTTTTTTTTTATTAACCTGAGAGTTTAATTCAATAGTAAAAAAGGCAAACTTTCTGGTTACTTACCTAGTATAAATTGACCAATCTAGTTGCTCTCCCATAGCCTTTTATTCTCTATCCTCCAATAGGTGAGAATTCAACAGGAGGGTAACCTACTCTTCTAAAGAATAAGGCAAAAGCTAATGGAGATAAATAAGGGAAGAATATTGACTTCCTAAAATTATCAGTTTATCTTAAAATATGGCCAGTTAGACTTTTTCAGAAACGTGTAAAAGTATATAGAACAAAAGGAAAATTGGGACAATGGAAAGAACTGTAGACTGTGTGGGTCAGAAGACCTGTGTTCCAGACACAGGGTTGACATTTTCTATTTTAGGTAAGTCTCTTAAAATTTGTGTGAGTTGTATTTTCTTCCTTGTAGCAATCAAAGGATATCTTACATGTTAGCAGTATATAATAAGTAATCAAAATGATGCATATTTTAGCATCTCAGTTCTATCATAGGACACATTTAATTGCTACTCTTACAACTTTCATTGCCTTCCAAAATCTAATTATTTTTGCTAACTTGTATTTATTATTTTTTATCTCATTGGGCCAATAACCACAGCCATAACTCTCTGTTCACTTTATTACAAACAGAACATACTAGTTCATGTTTTCATACCATTTTATTGCAATTTTTCCTTTATTCCTTATCCAGCTCTCATCTATCTTTCAAGATCCAAGTAAAATTCAGTCTCTCTTAAAAATCCAATGCCACCGAACACTTAGAACTTTAGAAGAGATCACAGTATCTACAAAATTGCTACTTAAAATGAGGGTAAAGTACCAGCAGCATTAGCATCCCCTGATAGCTTATTATTAATGCCCAATCCAGAATCACTGAGTTAGAGTTTGCTTTTTAACAAGATTTGAAGGAGATTTTTATGCACATTAATGTTTGGAGAAGAATTGACCTACCACATTCATTCTAGAAAATAGTCATCTTATGGAATCATCTGTTTAATTTGTGTAGTTATCTTTTCCTAAGACCAATAAAATTCGACAAGTCTGAGAAGAGTGTTTTATAATAATGTTCATAGTATTGCTTCCCAGAAAATAACTCTATCGTCTCTCATTAGAAGGATATATACTATTACAAAATGCATTTGCTGAAGGAAATATAGTAGATATATTCTGATTCCTGAGTGTTATTGAAGAGTAGAAATTAGACACCTGGATGCTTACCTTTATGAATGACCATAGCTATCCTACTTTTTAATTCAGTACAAAGGAGCAAACAACAATGATAAATGCTTCATCCTTTTCATTGAAGATATCAAATCATGAATTCTTTTTTTTTTTAAGGGGAACCAAATAAATCTACACTCCATTCAATTGAAAAGCTGAAATGTGATGATGTATAACCTATTCTGAGCATTTCAATGAGGAATTGACTTTGGCTAACCTGAGCATCCTTGTCAATATGCTCTTGAACCCCTCTGATTTACTTATTGAGTGTATTCTGGGGAATCACAGTATCAAATGAGGGGAAGCTGAATAGATCCCTTGTCTTAGTTTGTGAATTAACCTGCATGAAAAGAAGTAAATGGATCAAGTCAATAGATAGATTATGTGTTTCAGAAAGTTAATAGTTAATGTCCTTCTATGTTGTAAAAATGAGAGGCTCAAAAGTGATGATTCTAATATTATATTCCAAATTACTACCAATATCCATTAGGCTAGATTCCAGTGGATAAAACTAAACATTGATATCTTTTCCCACTTCAACTAAAGTTAGATGATCAGTAATCACAAGATACAAATGATGTGTCTGGGGAAATTTGCCGGATTCGTAGGAGAGCCAAGCAATGATTTATTTTGCAGGATGCGTGCCTTGCTACAAATCAACCTTCTGTTTGTGAAGTCTCATTTTCAGCTAGTTGAAGTGATTCAGAGTTTTCATTGTGACCTAAGAGACCAGCCAGAAGAGAACAATTAATTAACCTCACAAAATCATCAGTAAGATCCTGCATAATTAGATCAGCTTATACATTTTAAAAAGAGTGGGTACAAGGAGTTCAATAGCAGGTCATTTTCTATCCTATGCTGGATAAGAATGTGAGCTTGCCCAGCCAACACAACATGGATGTTCACTAACAGAAAAGATCTGTGACTTCTTTCTTTCTTTCTCTTTCTTTGTTCTTTCTAATCTGTGTCCTTTGAATTGCACCCAATTTCTGTCTGCAACTGGTTCCTTAAATACATTGGTTCCTGATTATTGAATTAACCATAAGAAAATACCATGTACTCATTTTGAATGGTGCAATTACTATATGTGTATTTGAAGGGTGAGTTGAGAGAGGAACACTATTGTGCTAAAAATAGAGACACCAAGATCCTTGCATTTTAGACCAAAAAGAGAAAATTTCCAATTGTCCATCTTATATTTTTGGTCTCTTTGTATTGACATATAATTGGACAGTTACTGGAAAATTTTACAGTTAGCATCCTGGCCCTCAGGTGAATCTGTATGAGACTAACATCCTTAAACTATATAATGAGTTCCATAGCATGTATTTTATGCCACTATTTATGGACATTAGTCCCCAATTTAAAATTAGGGTGGTTTGTAGGTTTGTCTAAAAATTTGTTTGCTGAGAAATTGATTTGCTGTTCTTTAAATGAAACAGTGGTGTTCTTGAGTTTGCTGTCAGAAACAATTAACATGCCATACTTTAATTTTATTAGTTGAATGCATGACCTGCAATGGGGAAAGCTATCGAGGTCCCATGGATCATACAGAATCAGGCAAGATTTGTCAGCGCTGGGATCATCAGACACCACACCGACACAAATTCTTGCCCGAAAGGTAAAATACCAATGAATCTTGCTTCCCACGAATCTTTGTATAAATTGTTATTTGTTTCATGATAAGATTCCATGAAAACTCTTTGTATGATGTTTTAATGATGGGGCTTGAACATACTTCAGAACTCCCCTGAACATATGGTCTTTTTCTGAGAGTGTTGTTGAAGCTGAATATTTGGGAGAGGTGTCTTTTGGGGAAAAAGGATTTATGATGAGGTATATGAGAATATTAGGTATGATTTTATTGGTCTTGACTGACTAGTTGAGTCTCTAAAATCAGGAAGGTTTTGGACACAAGACTATATAGTCAGGTACAAAGTAGAAGCAATAACAGAGCTTTCTTTAGCAAAAAAAAAAAAAAGAAAAGAAAAAGAAAAAGAAGAAAGAAAAAGACAAAAGACAGAGTCAGTTCAGTGATGACCACTTTGATAGGCCCAAACCATGAAAGGACTAATTACTCCTAAATGCAAGCAAATATCCTTCCAGAGCTGCATCTTCAGAGACTTACATTCTGTGGGTCATATGAGTGACACCTGAACTTAGGAGATGTCTCTAAAAAGTGAATGAAAACTAGTGCCAATAATGCATTAGCTATTTTATCCTGATGTATTTAAAAATGGTGGACAGGGCCAGCTTTTTCCAGGAGAAGGTTTTGAACTTATAGTTGAAAACAACAACAGATTATGTCTTTTGCTAGTTCATTTCACATGAAATGAAGTGGAAAAAAACAAAAGAAAAGAAAAATAAATTCTTTATTTTTACTAGAAAGAATAAATATATAAATATTGCAAAGAAAAAGCATACCTACCTTCCTTTGGAAATTGCTACAAGGTATTTTTACTCTCTTCTTCTATTTTTTTTTTTTAGTGATTGTTGTTAGTTTTTGCCTCTTGTTGTTCTTTTAAATGAAATTAAAACTCTTGATTTATTTTTTTAAATGCATGTCCTTTCTTTTAAGTTAGAGCAGAAGGGATGTGGTAGCAATTAAAATCAGGTTACCAATTCAGGACTCTGTTAATTTAAAGGGAGGTAGGATGTGGAGAAAGTGGTGTGATGGAGTTTGTCTCTTGCCCTGGTGGAGTTGAGGGCATGACCTAGAACAGCTCCATTTTAAAACTGAGCTATCATTAGTAACAGAGCAATTGAAACCAAACTTCCAATTGAACTTTAAGCCCTAGAGGAGGACCTGTTTTCTTAATGAGCATTCTATATGCGGTCATGTTTTTTGCAGTCTGTTTCTTAATTGGGCTGTATGAGAAAGGGATTCAGTTGGAATCCGAATTGGTGGACAGGTATACCAAATGGATCTAACTTATTAGCACAGAGGATGATACTCTATTCTTAGTGGAATATGCAGGTAGATTCAATAGTTAATGATCAGCAGTCCCTATAAAGCAAAAGATGAAAAAACTGGAACTTTCCCTAGCTAGTATTATCCAAACTAAGTAGAAAGTTATCTTGTGAGCTGAAGGCTAGGTGTGTTCCCAGGCAGATTTACGTGACACTTCTCTCGGTGTGGTTTGCAGATACCCCGACAAGGGCTTTGATGATAATTATTGCCGCAACCCTGATGGCAAGCCGAGGCCGTGGTGCTATACTCTTGACCCTGACACCCCTTGGGAGTACTGTGCAATTAAAATGTGTGGTAAGTTAGGGTCAAATTTATTGCTTCCTTTTCCTCTCACAGACTGGATCTAAGCAGGCGATTATTAGTGAGACAGGTTAACAAGTATTTGACTTGATGCTTTAATACGTGCAGGTTTTAATATTTTAAGAATGTGTTATATACTCCTACCCAATCTTTTGAATTTTCAAAGAGTTGTTATTTTGGAAGGGGTTCATACATAAATGCACACATATATTAAAAAAAAGTATTTGTACATATGGTAAAAATGTAAACATTCTAATGTTATCAAGAAAACAACAACAACAACAACAAAAAAAATAGTGGAGAAAAAGACCAGGGAATATGCAGAACATTGTAAAGTCACTGAGATACTAAAAGTTGGAACTTTGATTCTTACCTTCTAGTCCTGGATCCTGGATCCTTTCCCTCCCTTTTCTCTCCAGAGACAGGAACATTAGTTGTCCACTGGCTGTGATCCTTTTGGTGAATGACAAAGGTGGCAATGAGGAAAGCTGAGTTTAACTGCAGAAATTTATCCAGCTCTCCTGAATTTATGCCCAAAACTTAGTTTTCCTAGTCTTCCTGTCCCTTTAACTTTAGATATGTAGTCCTCTCTTTCATGGCTAACTCCCATGTTTTTGATCTTTGAAATTATACTGGAGACTAATTAGATATAGACTTATTTTGTGTTTGTTTTCACGAATAGAGCTCTTATCTTTTCAACTAGAACCTAAAAGCTTTAAGATCAATAGAGCTGTATATATGTATTAAGATGTGATAATGCTTAAGTTGGCATGATAACATTGCATGTAGGCATCATATAAAGAGATAAATATCAGCAACACAAGGTCAGGGACCATAAGTAACACAGTTATGAGAACATGGACAGATATTTGCATATTTCCCTGTAGCAGCCTGATGTGGTTAGTATTCTGAAGAAACCTAACTCAATATCATTCGCGCTATTGTGCTGTCAAGGTGAATCTCTCTTTAGCACTACTAATAAATGGAAATGTTTTGGGCAACTCATAAAGACCATAGAAAGGCGATGTGCATGGCATATGTGAAATAGCTGCAGAACTTGAAAACCTCTCAGAATGAAACAAAATGTTCCAGGGAAACCGAATCATCTGTTTTGTCCTAAAAAAAAAAAAAAAAAAAAAAAAAAAAAAAAAAAAAAAAAAAGATGACTTGGTGACAGTGTTGCTCTGTATAGACCAAGTTCATTCCACTCATTGACTTGTTTAATCATATTAATTTTTCTGTCATTCTGAATCAGTTAGGTTCAATAAACCAACTGTTTTTTTTCTCTCTCTCTGTGTGTGTGTGTGTGTGTGTGTTTGTTACTCTTACAACTCTTGTATATAATAAGAATACACACACATGTTCACATGCATGTTCACCCTATAGCATGATTGTACTCACAAAGATGTCCATATTGCCCTTCTCTTTGGTTCTCAATGAATCCTTCAGATATTTTCGAAAGAAATTGGGAAATAAAAAAAATAAAATGAATCTGACACTTCCTAAATATTAAATAAGTTTCTTTTCTGTCTAAAGGGGAATTGGTGAATTATGTAAGTAACATATAATAATTCTGATGGCTGTGTTAAGTAGAGTGTGGTGCTTTTAGGATGTTACTTCTAATAAAATAATATTAGGATTTGTGAGCCAAACCTATGTCTTCCAAATTAAAATAATCTTCTGAGCTTTGAAAATGTTTAAAGATTTATTTATTGAAGGACAACTTTTAGTTTAAGAATTATTTGATTGCTCATTTAGAGATTAGAAAAGGCTATTATTAAAATATTAAAATAAACTTGACATTCTAGAAATTCAGAGAGATAAGTTTTTTAAAAGTATTATAATTACACATAGTTTGGGGGTTCATTTTGCTAAATTATACATTTGATCATAATACTCATTGTCCCCATTTCTGCTTCTCTTCCTTCCCATTATTTGCTCTCTTCTACTGATCTTCCTTTCACTCCTTTATTGATTTATTTTGCTTCATAATTTCTACATATACATAAAGGTGAAATTCCCTTTGATACATTTATATATACATATAACATGATTTTGTTAAATTTGTTCCATTGTTTCTTTCCCTTTCCCATCCATCTTCCCTCCCTCTTGTTCTCCCACTTCTACTCCACTGATCTTCCCTCTAACTTTAGGATGTTCAATTTCCTCCCCTTTTGGTCTTTTCCTACTGTGCTCTGGCTTCCACAAAAGCAAGAAAACATTTGACACTTGATTTTCTGAGTTTGGCTTATTTTACTTAGTATGATTTTCTCCATTTCCATCCATCCATTTATCAGCAAATGCAAATATTTCATTCTTCTTTATGCCTGTGTAAAACTCCATTGTGTGTGTGTGTGTGTACATACCATATTTACTTGATCTGCTCATCTACTGATGGGCATCTGAGTTGATTCTATAATTTGGCTACTGTGAATTGTGCTACTATAAACATTGTAGTGGCTGTATCATTATAGCATGCTGATTTTAGTTCTTTTGGATGAATATTGAGGGGTGGGATAAATGAGTCATATGGTGGTTCCATTCTTGTTTTTCTTAAGTAGGAGAGAGAACATTTTATGAATAGTTTTTAAAATGTCTTGGCTTGCATATGTAATAAATCCTCTAGTGCAAAACTGAGAAATTTGGTGGTGGTTTCAATCATGTGTTAGATTTATGTAGTGATAAATTACCAAAAGCTTAAGAGTCTTAAAACAACTTAGCTTTATTATAATATTGCATTTGTGGGTCTGGCATTCAGTGACAACTCAAGTGGATTCTCTGTTCAGGTCTTGCAAGGTCAAAATCAAGGTGTTTACCGGACATGTGAGCCCATCTAAGACTCAGCATCTCATTTCCAGTTCACTGATTGTTGGCACAATTCAGCCTCTTGTGATGTAAGGATGCACAAAGCCTGTACTCTCTAGAAACTTCCCAACATTCCTTGACACATGACCCTTTCTGCAATATGTCAGTTTACTTCTTCAAGGCATAAAGGATATTATCTCCAGTGCCTTGGGCTTCTGACCTCTATAAACTCTTTTTTCCCCCCAAAAGCTCACCTGATTAGGTTGGGCTCACATAGTTTAGTATCCCTTTTGATTAAGGTAAAAATCAGTTTATAGCAACTATAATTATACATGCAAAATTTCTTCACCTGTGTTGGTGTAAAGAGATCTAATGATGAGTCTCCTTGTATTTAGTCTTTTGGTATTCACAAATATCATCCACATTCAAGGGGAGGTGATTACACAGAACACACATGCCAGTGGGTGGGGATCTTGGGGACCAATTGTAACAGACAATTGTTTATCTGATTGCAACTGATTATTTTGTATTATTAAATTCTTGAAACAACATGCAGGTTATCACTTAGTCTGGACTAGCTAAACTCATTCTGGGTTTTCAATATGTTTGAAGAAAATAATAGAGTTGCTAATTATTTCACTTTTTCTCTTGAAAGTTGAAGAGGGGTTTTAAAACTTTTGACTCATAATTTGTTACCATTTATTTTAAAAATAAGGTGATTTTATTTACAAAAAGGGTGCTTTGCATTGAATGTCAGTAATTCTTATTTTGATTCTACAAAATGGTTGTGAATAGTAAAGAATAGGTAGAATAGCCTCATGGTATTTAAGATATGGCAACTATCTTAAATAGTTGGTAGGTTGGGTAGGTTGTAGGGTAACAACAGAAACTGGAAGATGATTAGAAAATCTAAATTGACAGGGCAGATAGAGCAGGATCCAAGAGTAGCCAAAAAGTTGCCATAAGAAACACAGAATAAGCAGGAGGAGTGGTCACATCTGACTTATGGTGTAGAACTGTGGTCCTCAAACTGATGTATGTGAAACCCAGGGAACAAAAAGACTCTTCCAGGGGTTTGTGGTGTAGACCTATGATGTAGCTTTTTCATCTACATATGAATTATTTCCCAAAGTTCTCAGCATGAGATGCATGTGCTCCTTAGAAGTTTGGAAAGTTCAACACCTGTTTTCCCATCCATATTGCGCTTTCCTGCTTTACTGGATAAAGCGAGATTTCTCATTCCTCTCAAATTCTACTATAGTACATTGCCCTGGGTTATAAAAACATTAGGGACTAAAACAGATATCTTTGAAAATACATTAAATATATATTTGTGCTGTTTGTCATTATGAATCACTAATAGTTGTATAACTATCCACTTGAATCTACAAATATGCACATATGTGCTTTTGTGGTGTGTGTGTGTGTGTGTGTGTGTGTGTGTGTGTGTGCATAGGCAAGCATTTATCTCTTAGAAATGTGTGGTCACAGGAAATTCTAAAGTTTACTTGCAATATATGAAAATCTTTCAGAGCACTAAGATGAAGAGAGGAATAAAAGACTCTCTAACATAAAATACACGTAATAAAGGTCAGTAAGAAATAGAGTACAAATTAAGGCAGTCAGCAGTGAGAAAAATGAGATGAGGAAGGATATGAACAGTACTAAAGAGGTAGAATGTAGAAGATATAATGGCAAATTAGATATAATGGGAAATGAATATGGAAGGAGAAAAATTTAAAATATTTTCCAAGTTATTGGATAGATGCATGTATTAGAGGCATTGTTTTGAGGGGAAATGTAATGTTTAATCGTGCTTATGTTGAGATGGGGTGCTTGGCATCTGTGTACATAGAACATCGAGATTCACTTTTCTCTGTGAGGTTACAGAATGTGAAAAGTAAACAGTGACAGCAAGAATTTGTGCAGGGGACCCTAGCAAGCACATAAAGAACATGGAGAGGGTGGTTTGTCCCTTTCTGCAGAGCACCCATTCAATCAGTATTTGCTGTGCAGTCATTACAGATCAAACAATTTTCTAGACCTTTGGGATATAGAAATGTACAAAAGGGACCAAGGGCTATAAGAAAATTGAAATTTCAGAACTTTAACAAGAACTAGTAAAGAAAAGCTGACACAATCTTGATAATGAGATAGTCATACCTTTCAGAATCCAAGTTTGAATATTG